GTTCCGGTACAGTGGTGAAAATGAATCAGGCACAATAAAATTTAAAAGCAGCATAGACTCGCCTGAATTCAAAAATATTTCTGTAGGAAGAGGCAAAGCAAACGAACCGTTCAATCCCCAGAAATGTTACGATAATCCTATTGGTCAAGAAAAAAAGAAAGATCTCTCGAGTATTCTTCATTTAATTGACAATGATTGCCACAATTTTTATAAGAAATTACAAACTAATTCAAGTACCCATGATGTGGGCCCCGACCTAGAGGAATTTAATGATGTCTAATATTTATAAATTTAAAGTATAACGTTTTAATTTGCAAAAGTTTGTAATGTATAAGGAGATAAGTAATTAAAATGTTTTTTATTTGATTTTTTCATAATAAAGTAAAACGAGACATGTCAATTATATAATTATAAAATAATTATTTTTGTATTTTTTTTTAAATACATTAATGCTTGCAATTAAAAGTTGCCAAAACAAATTTTAACATGTACTCTCATTATTTTATTACTAAATAAATGGTTATTTTCTATTTAATCAAATCAGTCATTTCTTTATATTGCCCCTGCTGTAAAAATTAAGTTTGTGTAGTTGTCCCCTTTTTCCTTAACACCACAGATATACTGGCTATATATACTGACTATTTTTACCGTCTGGAAAAAAAATAGGGTGTAACAGGTGAATGTAGTAGAAGCCTATGGCATTGATATTGCACAAAAAATAAAAACAAAAATTCGGAATTAAATAAATAAATCTATCGAAACTCAAATCATATCCACCCTACCCATACGAGCGTCAATAATATCAATGAATTTGTAACGCGGTTCTATACATTTTAACAACCGACACTCGAAGCACCCGCGGGAGATGTCTTTTAGCAAGCGCAAGTAGCCTCCCGCGTATTACCTGCTCCCGCCCCCACACTATCATTCATTTTACAGTCACATGCAATTAGCCATGGCATGACGTCGTATTGTTTACGTTTCCGCGTGTGTATTGGCCGCCCGCTGATAGTTATCGTAAACATGCACCAATACTCTAATGTCGAATACCTAGCAATGGGCCGAACTAAGACGATTAGTGTACACAGAAGAAGCAGAAAGTGTTAGTGATTTAAAGCAGCGTATAATAGGCGCAATTAATGTGATAAAAAGTGATAGCGACATTTTGAACAATTACTGTGATATCATTAAAAAAAGGTAATTTTTATTAATTTGTAAATAACAATAATGTAGCATAATTTTGTAAATATCAATCAGTTTAGTTTGTAAATGAGATGATTTCGTATGTTGCAGTATACGGCAAGCATAAAAATTATTATTATAAATTGTTTATCAATTCATTACAAAACAAGATAAAATTTAACATGTAATTCTACTCAACTTCAGCATATCAGATGGTCCTAAGCCCGTAAGAGTATGAAGGAAAGATCTAAATCACAAAAATAATAATCTGATACGAAAGTTAATTTACCAACTTACCATTTTCTTGAACTCTTAATGAAATTTCATTAAGAGTTCAAGAGTTTCATTAATATTATTGAATGTATTATTGAACTGAAATATTATTGAACATTATTAATGAAAGCATGGCAATGAGAAGTGCTGCTATTTTTAATCTCATTCTCTTTATCGACCATGTATTTTATTAATAACCAGTATATACCTCTCTCGCATTAGTAGGCAGTAACTAGTATAGGAAGTCCAATTACACTGAAAGTTTTAAGGTCATTGACATTATACGTGAAAAAATCGAAAAATGCGAAGTGTGGTCGTAACAAACGGCTTTACGTGCTTTCCGAGGCATGAGGGTGAGACACCGTCAACTTCCCGACTCCGGACAGCTAGTGAGAATTTCTTGACGGGTAAACTCAATAAATTGAATTTTTTTTCTCGATCCTGGATTCGAACCCAGGACCTCATGATCAGCTGTCACACTACTACAACCAGCAGACCAACGTGCCAGACTTATAAGAGAAATATACTTTTTTGTTAACATAAGGCGCGCGTCAGCTGATTCTAAAAATGTTGGCTGCAACGACCCCACTCGGCCACCTGGCGCCTACATAAAGAAATGTGCATGTGTCTCGCTCGCTTTAACTTTCATTCACTAGTTTTACACAAACGTCGTAGGAGGAATTGTTTTTATGTATTTTTTTGGATATTCGAAAATTCTGTTATATTTTACAAATACTATAGATAGCTTCAAATATAAGTAAAAATAGTCACCCACTATATCATAGTACCTAACTGTTCAAAATGTCTGTTGTTTCCTTCTAAACATAAACTAGTCTTTGTAATTTGTTGGTAAACTTCGAAGCGTATTGCTATCATTTTTTATCACATTAAATGCGTCTATTATATGCTGCTTTAAATCACTAACATTTCGTTCTTCTGTGTACACTAATCGTTTTAGTTCGGCCCACAAATTAGTCTACAGGTGTTGTTAGGTCTGGTGATCTCGCAGCCAATTTACAGGTCAACCGCGACCTATCCACCTATATCGAATTGGCTGTCCAGATATGAGCGCACAGATCGTTCGTAATGAGCTGGAAATCCTGCTGGAAGTACATTCCTTTCAGATGGCTCAGATGAATGTTTTGCAATACTGTGTCGATGACGGAAAGTATCATTTGCAGATACGTTACTCCCATCAATCGATATTCAATCCATAAATTCCAACACGGGTAAATATCGATACGGCGCATCGTCTATGTTTTCACACACGCGGAAACATAAACAATACGACGGCGATGCGACGTCACGCCACATCTAACTACGGGTAAATGAAATGAGAGTTGAAGGCGTGCTTTGACCTCGGGCCTGAGACCCTGCGAAAGGACATTGACAAAGAATTTATTGTTTTATTGCTGCTCGTAAAACTAGGTTGGGTATGATTTTAATTGATTTATTTATTTAATTCAAAATTTTGGTTTTAATTTTTGTGCAATCAGTGCTTAGGCTTCTACTCCGTTCAGTAAAAAAGATCATCCAGTATATGTAATAGGCTGTAACAGTAACTGTAGATTGTACATACATTAATATACACCTAGATACGATATTCTAATCGGTACCAGTAGAATACTTGTTCCCTAACACAAAGTTTGTATGTTACGCTACTTAAAATAAACAAAATTTGACCATTTCTTACGAAATACTGCTAAATAAAGTTCATCTTTAATTCTGTAACTATGTCGATTAATTCTAATAACAAAGATGCACTTTCGGTTTTCCTCTTTTAGAAACAGAAGAGAAAAAAAATTTTTGGATTCATCTATTTATTGATACGAGGGTGGATTGAAAAGTACTCGGCCTAACCAAGAAAATAAACACATACTAAATCAGTTATATTTTTATTTTTTCTACATAATCACCATCAAGTTCAATACACTTTTGCCACCTCCCCTTCCAAGCATTTAGACCGTTGAAAAAAAAATGATTCTTCCTTAGAGTCGAAATATGCGTCTACAGCTGCTTTGACCTCGTCGTTTGTCGAAAATCTTTGACCTCCCAAGTGCTTTTTTAGGTTAGGGAACAGAAAGAAGTCTGATGGTGCCAGATCAGGTGAATACGGCGGATGCGGTAACAGTTCAAAGCCACAGTTGTGAATTTCAGCCATTGACTGTACAGACGTGTGAACACGGGCGTTATCTTGAAGAAACAGGACTTTTCTTCTGAGCATTCCTCGACGTTTTTCTTTTATTTCCTCTCGTAAACGACGTAGTAAGGTGCAGTAGTAATCAGAGTTTATAGTCTGACCCCTTTCAAGATAATCAATCATAATCACACCTTTCGAGTCCCAGAATACTGAAGCCATCACCTTATTTGCCGACAAAATCGACTTAGCCTTTTTAGGGGGTGGTGAACCAGGTCTTCTCCACTGTTTTGATTGTTGTTTTGTTTCCGGTGTACAGTAATGAACCCATGTTTCGTCCATAGTAACAAAACGATTCAAAAAATCATCTGCATCGGCTTCAAATAACTCCAAACAGTTGCGTGAAATAGTCAATCGCGTCCTTTTTTGTTCAACTGAAAGCAGTCGCGGAACCCACATCGCAGACACCTTGTGGAAACCCAACTCGTTGACAATGATGTTTTGAGTTCGTTCATAAGAGATGCCTATAATCTCGGCTATCTCTCTAATTTTTAATCTGCGGTCTCCCATTATTAAATCAAGTACTTTTTTAATATTTTCGTCAGTAGTTGACGTCGAAGGCCTTCCAGAGCGGGGTTCATCTTTCACACTCTCTCTACCACGCTTAAATTCTGCTATCCATTTTTTGACGGATGAATATGACAGAGCACAATCGCCTAATGTACTGACCATGTCATCATGGATGGCTTTTGATGATAGCCCCTTCTTATGGAGGTACTTAATGACGGCACGCTGCTCGATTTGCTCCATTCGCGGAAATTACGTCCGATTACTTTGTTAATAAATTTATAAAATCACAACTAATTATCGCACACGTTTCGAACTTCACACAATGAACTAGTCTGAACTGAACTAAATAATGTGGGTAGATTTGATTTTTAGAATTGAATGGATCTGTGTTAGGCCGAGTACTTTTCAATCCACCCTCGTAGAAACATAAGTTGTAGAGCTTTTGTTGCTGCACGAGAACTACAAGATGACAGATTTTTTATAATTCTACCGAAAGTCAAAAGAATCTCATAAAAGGGTTTTCTTATTATTTCTCAGCCGCCATTCTGAAGATCCGTTGCAGTCGATACGTACTGGCGAACGACATGGCGTGTATCGTGAGACTTATGCGAGCGCGTAAGATAGCAGCGGGGTGAAAAATGAAAGGAAATGACAAATTTGAACGTAAAATCACATGAAGGTGACTTAGCGTTGATTTTAGTTTATAATTAACATATTAACGATCGTAGATTGTCACCTTGATTTACCCTGCAGTAGTGAAGTGTGTGAGTCACTGCTCAAAACATAATTGCATCGAGTAGGATAATAGTGACATGCAATGAAGGGGCCTCGCACTTACCAATGGCGTCGAGCGCATGGTGCGCGTGCGCGTGTGGCTGCGCTGAGTCGAGCGGCGCTTCGTCTTCGAGCTCGTCTTCGTCATTGAACCACATCTCCTCCTCGTCGTCGGGCGTGCGCGCCTCGCGTCTGTACCGCGTGCGCAGCAACGACGGTACCACCGCCTCCGCCACTGCCACGCTGCCACTAACTGGAATTATGGTAATTTTGATTGAAATTAATTAATAAAGGCAAGGGTGAAAATAGCCTTTTGTTACACTAAAGTAGTGAGATTTACCATCTACGGCATCATCACAATTTACAACCAGGTGGGATTGTACTCAAAAACTGGCTTATAATAAGTTAAGAAATGAAATTTAACAGAATGCAACCCAAAATGCACAGCAGAATCAAAATAATATGAAGTGACTATAAAGTTTAAACAAGGGCAAATAATGAGCATACAGTTGTTCTGAATATAATTGGATGCTGTGGTACAGAGTCAGACTCTCATCACTAACCATAATGTGAAATACAGAATTATTATGCTGCCATTTTGTGCTAAAATTTGTTCTCCAGTTGCTAATATTCCATTTTCTTAATATCGGACAATATAAATACATTTAAATAGGTAATGACAATTATGTAGGCGCAACGATGAGACCACTGAATACAATAATCTATTGAACAGTAAAGACTGATTTAATATAGTTAATACAATCTATTGAAAAAAAAAACATTAATCAGGATTGACTTTTTAGATAGGTAATGTAGACAATATTTCTTAATCCATTTTATTTTTTAATGAATGGGCTGAAAATCCTACATATATTTTATAAGAACTTTTAAAATAAACTTCGTAAAATACTGCCTTTGACAAGATACTCACCTCTGTCTCTTTCCTTCAATTTGTCCTGATGTTGGTCATAACGGGTTTTTAAAGCTTTAAAAGTTTGTACATATTCAACATCTTCTAAGATTTTTCCATAGTTTTCCACAACATGTGAACAAAGTGACTTTATGTCTTCCAACTTAATGAATTCAAATAATTCTAAAATAGCTGAATCTAATAAGTTGTACCTGAAAAACATAAGTAGATATTATAAAAAATTGCAAACTGTAATTACAGCTCGTTATACAGAGAATCCTATAGACAAATTGACGCCTTCTTTCGCATTCGCACACGAAAAAGATAGATTTATGCATACGTCTTGCATAGAAATGAGGTAGAGCGGTGTGATTGTTTGTCCCTTTCTCCGTGCCGGTTTTTTTGTTTAACAGCATAGCGATTTAAGGAGTTTACAAGTTGGTTTAAGTGAGAAAAAAGTGTTTTGTGAGCTAGATTGGTGAATCTTGTTCAGTTCAGTTCTTAGAACAATTAAATTTATTATCTAAATGTGTTTAAAAGTCATAAAGATTATTGTATAACCTAAAAATTCGTTATCATCCTTTCTCACTCGAGGCCACGCCGATCATTAGTCTATAGGTTTCTCTGTCTACGTTACAGCTTAATTCATTATTGTAATTGTTAAATACTCTGGATTTTTACATCCATCTTTACTCTGGATTTTCACATCCATCTTTATGTGCGTATAAACACCATAAAATTAACCATATTCATATTCAATCAAAATAAATGACTTGAATTACAACTTTTTAATGAATAATCTTTTTAATGAGCCATGGTAGCTCAGGGCCTAAGCACTCGCTGTAAATTTCACAGTATGCGAGCAACCCGAGTTTGATCTCTGCCAGCAATGGAATTATTTGCAATTTTAAGTGCTGATTTACAACGTGCTTGGCGGTGAAGGAAAACATCGTGAGTAAACCTGCATATTTTTTTATATATATAGAAGAGGGGGCAAACAAGCATATCGTTCACCTAATGTTAAATGACTACCGCCGCCCATGAACAACCGCAACACCAGGGGAATTGCAGGTGAGTTGGCGGCCTTTTAGAAAGGATTAAGCTCTTTTCTTGAAGGTCCCTAGGTCGTATCGGTCCGGAAAAATCGCCGGTGGTAAACTATTCCACATAGAGGTCATGTCTGAGAAATAAGAAAAAAAAAACTTTTCGTAGAAGCATTGCATGCACTCGTCAGCGCGGCGGACATATACTTGGCCTAAAACCCTCTCAGAAATAAGAGGAGACCTGTGTCCAGCAGTGGGACATATATAGGCTGTAACTTTACTTTTTACTTTAATGAATAATCAACAAAGATTACTCCTTTGTTACCATGATTATGGTCATCATTGACAGTGTCATTTAACAAGAACTAGAGAAAATGTTTTTTACGGAGTGATTGTTTACCATGATTATTTGTACTTTCTTAAGGTAAAAAACTATGCCATAGCTTCATCAAGTCTCAACTGCGGGAGACTCTGTAAGAAGAAGAGGCAAGAAACTTAATAATGTCCTCTAGACCGAATTTCAGTCTCGGCGGCTCTTGACAGGGTCTATACATCTACGCAAGACAGGATTAGAGCGCATTAGTATGAGGGCAATGACCGGAGCGAAATTTAGTGTGTTACTGACAATTTTGGCCCAACCCGGGATTCAAATCCGGGACTACAGGATCGGCAGACGCGTTTACCATTAGACCAAATAGGCAGTTAGAAAATAAACTTCAAAAAAATATACACAAATCAATATAAGAAAATCTAAGAGGGCTCAATACGACTAAGCATTCTTATCTTATAAGTATCATCTACTTTAGGATCAAATTTTCTATTAGAATACTTTTTACATGTGCCTTGAATTTATACAAAGGCACCTCACTAATGCAACCAGTGCATGTTGCCAGTGATGATTTATGGATCTAAGACGTGGTCATTCACTGCAAGCCGAATGAGGATGCTCAAGGTCGTTCAGCGAGCTATGGAGAGGGCTATACTCGTAATTTCTCTGCGTGATAAACTTAAAAATGAGGATATCCACAGTAAAACCAAAGTAACTGACATAGCCAAATCTGCGTAAGCTGAAGTTGCAATGGGCCGGCCATATAGCTCGAAGAACCGACAACCGATGAGAAAATAAGGTTCTCAAATGGCTGCCTCGTACCGGTAGACGAAAGTAGGGCGACCCCTTACAAAATGGAGTGACGACCTGGTAAGACATGCAGGAAGTCCATGGATGCAGGTGGCTCAGGACCGTGCTTCGTGGCATTCCTTGGCAGAAGCATATGTTCAGCAGAGGACTTGTGGAGGGCTGTAATGATGATGATGTGAAAGTACTTTTTCCCCTTTTTAATTATATGCAATTGATTTCTTATATTTACGCGAACACTACACATTGATATAATACTAGTTTTTAGGGAATTTATCGCGTATATTTAACTATTTAAATACCCGCGATACGATAAATTCCGTAAAAACTAGTATTATTTCAATATATGCAATTGTCTTATCTAGCCATAATCAGATGTTTTCATTAGATTATATATATTTTTGACAATGTGGCTCCATTAAGCCTTCAACAAAACCGCTCGATTAATCGGCGCCGTGGGCAAAATAATGGTAGATTGAAAGCCCATTTTAGCGTTAAGCAAACTCTTGATGCAGTGGCGTCTCGGAATCAACATGTTAGATTACAGTTTTTGTAATATAATACTCAAGCTTGTTTTTGTTTAGCTGTTGAACGTTTCTTTGCATTATTTAAAAGTTTGATAAGTTTTTTTTTTGAAAAATCATATTTCGTAAACTAAAGTGACAACCATATCTTATTTTTATTTTGAAATACAGGCCATACCCACAACTACATGTAAAAAATAAAAAAAGAAATTCATTCAAAATTCAAAAAATGTTCTCTTTCTATGGATATGGTGCACATAAACACGTATTTTCTAAATTGTTTGATTGGTGATGTACATTTTTGGCACTTTAGTAGGCAGAAACGTTTAGTGTGAGTGAAACAGAAATATATTTGAATAAGAACAAGCTTACGATAGAAAGAGAAACACATTTCTATTAAGAATTCAGTGCTTGCGTACTGGGAATACCCAAGGCCAATCGACGGATAAATTCGCGTGGGTACTGGGAGTACCCTAAGTATAAGAGCTATTCTCAGTCTTTCTGATCTTGGTCCAATACCTTAAGGCTATATTTTGAAATTTCTGTAAGATTTCTAGGTTGTAGTTACTGGCAAAACCCCATAGTTCTATACCGTAACTCCATATTGTTTTATGATGGCTTTATAGACCAGTAGTTTGTTGTTAGGAAATAACTGTGATTTGTCTCTTTTTTCTTTGCCTTGATGTGTTAGCCCATGTTAATCTTTGGTGGTTTTACAGTTGCTTGTTTGTTATTGTTTATCTTCCATATAGACTGGTGGTACATTCTCCTTTTCTTAGAGTAAATGTTGCCTGCACAGATTACTTAATAATAATAATATAAGCCTTTTATTCAGAAAAATATTGGTTGATACATTCTTCCATTTTTTACTAATTTTGAACTAATTTTGCCTCAACATCCCTGTCCGTGTGCCTCTTTCAACAAAGGCCTCCTCCAACTGTGACCATTTTTCTCTATCACCAGCCACACTTGTCCACATGCAACAGCCTTTATTTCATCGATTCATCTTATGGATGGTCTGACTCGTTTCTTTTTCCTGTTTCTTGTGAATGAGAACATTATTATTTTTTAACAATTCTTCTTTGCCCCTAATTGTATGCCCTGTCCATTTCCATTTCAGTTTTCTTATGGTTACTGTAATTTCCTTTGTTCCGGTGTGTTTCTTAATGGTTGTAGTTCTTATTTCACCTTTCAGTTTTTTCTCCAACATACTCCTTTCCATAGCATTTTGGCACACTGCAGGTTTTCTATTGTGAGATTTAGTAAGTGCCCAGGTTTGGCAACCATATGTCAATACAGGCAATATACAACCAAACAGCTTCTGCTTGATGGTCATACTTATTTCTCAGTTTTTCATAATCTCTTTCAGAATCCAATATTGTTTCCACGCATTCCCAATGCGTCTATCAATTTCTTTTGCAGTTACATCTGTTGGCGAGATTACTTGACCCAGATATACATATTTACTTTCATAGTCAATTTTGTTGTTGCTAACACATATAGGTACTTTCCTCCCATTTGTCATGACTTTTGTTTTTTGGTCATTCATGGCTAATTCCACTCTATGACTTACTATGTCTAGGTCATTTAGCATTGCCTGCAGTTCTTCTGCCAATGGATAGTAGATTATCAGATAGTTCACGAATCTCAAGTGCGACAGATTTTCTGTTGATTGATAATCCACATTTCTCCCAATTCAAGTGACTGAAAACCTCCCCCCGGGACAGCTGTAAAGTCTTGGTGACATTGGGTCGCTTTTGGCGTACACCTCTTCTTATTTTAATTTTCTTGCCCTCTCTTTCTAGTTGGATTCTAGCTTTGCTGTTTTTATATATGTTTTTTAAGCACCTGCCAAATCTCTTCATGTTCAAGTGAGTCAAAGGCCTTACTGTAATCTACAAAATCGCAATAGAAGGTTATATTAAATTTCTTACCTTTTTCGAATAGTTGTTTCACCACATGTATATGGTCTAATGTTGAGTAACCACTTCTAAATCTCGCTTTTTCTCTCGTTTGATTGTCCTCTAGCGTCTTTGATATTCTGTTAATACAGATTACTTACAATGGGTTTATGGGAGCTTTTGTGAAGCAACTTCCGGGTCTTTCTCACTTGCCAGACATGCAGTGTCGTCTGCATACGTTGTTGTCATTGCCTCCTCAGTGGCTGGCAGATCTGATGTATATATGGCATACAGTACTGTCCCAAGCATGGATCCTTGTGGGACTGAAGCAGCGGTGTCTTACATTTTAGAATTCTAATTCTTTTTAGAAATTTCACTTGAAGTTTTCTTTGGTGAAGGTATAATTTCATGATCATTAAGAATGAGTAAGGTAAAATATTTTTTTTAGTTTGAACAGTAGTCTAGTCTTGTGCCACATTCTGTCAAACACCTTTTGAATGTCTACGAACACCACTGAGCAATATTATTTTTTCTCTAAGGACTGTCTAATTTTGTGTACCACTCTATGTACTTGTTCCACTGTGGAATGATTCTCCCTAAACCCGAATCAGTGGTCAGGAATGAGTTTGTTCTTATCTAATATTGGTTTTAGCCTTCGGAGGAATATTTTTTCGAACACTGGATAACATTTGGAGAAGGCTTATGGGTCTATACAAACTGGGATCAGTTGGAGATTTCCCCAGTTTGGCCATTATAATATATATAAATATAAAAATATATATATAAAATATATAATATATATATATATATATATACATATCTGTGATATTTTCCGCATCTTAAGAAAATAGCAAGTTCTAAATATAGTATTTACAAACATTATCAGAAAAACTATTGGTTTTTTAAGAAGTCGTTTGAGTAAGGTCGAATCCAGGTGCTTCGTATTTTTTAGATGATTTATGGCATGTTTCATCTCTTTAGGTGTCACCAATTTATTTGGTAGTGAAGAGGTTTTGATCACTGTTGATAATATTATCCAACTCTTTCTCAAATTCAATCATTGGAGATGGATTGGGGGTAAAAATCTTTCTTAGGTTTTCTGCGAAGTCCTCAGCTTTCTGATTTGGCTTATTAGCCCAATTACCTGTGAAAGTTTTTAGTGGAGGTATAGAATTAAATGGCCTTTTTAAATTCTTGGTAATTTTCAAAGAGAATTGTAGTCTTTGTTCTGAGCCGATAATGTAGACAGTTTCTGTTGAAGAGTATCATTCCTATTCTCAATGACTATGTCCTTCAGTTCTCTAGAGATCCTATTAAATTCTCTTCTGTCATGTTCTGATCTGCTTGCATGAAGCCACCTCCTCGTTTTACATTTTCCTCGAGTTTACGGCGTATTTCAAGATATGTTATACCTATTTGACGGGAGTTCCAGAGTCAGAGTAGCACGCCATGTGCCACCTGTATCAGGTTTATGATGTAGAATGCTATATCATCTATTTCCGCGTCGGTTTTAAGACTCACTCTTAGGGTTTTTTCCTCTTTAGGTATTTGGTAAATGCCTTTCAGTCTGATTTATGATTGCTTAACATGTGGCTTTGTTCTTTGTGTAATATTACACTCAGGGTTATCAGTACTGATTCGAAAAGATATCAAGAGATGATTCTATTTTTAAGTGTATGTTTGAGAGCCCCTTTGTTAATAAGAAATCTGTTGGCCAATTGGTTAGTTCTGTGGTTTTCTACACATTACTTAAGCTCCCATCCTCTAGTTATCTATCAGATATATATGCAGCCTCAGTATATTTGCTAGCTATTCCAATCACCGTTGCAGATATACCTGTGGCCCAGAGTGTCAAAGTACTTAGCATGACCTGCTTAAGTTTATGCGTTTGCGGACAGTATTCAGAGCCTACATTAAAAGAGCCAATGTGTCTTCACTAGTGACAGTAGTAGCTTGTATCCAGTCTTCACTTCAAAAATACTAACATATTTTTACCCAAAAATCAGCCACTAGTTGAATGTTAGGAACCTCTTAAAATGAAAAATGTCTTCTGAAAGTTAGGAAAATCTAGTAGCTACAATTATCATAGGCAAAATAATTACGCAACACATATTCTTTAAAAGATGTAACTTGTCAACTTGACACCATTAAGCCTATTTACTATACTACTAGGCACACTTTTCAATCTCACAACTCATTAGAACATTGATTGAACAAGGCTTATAGTAATTAAATATGGACCCATACTGCAGATTTGATTCTTACACATGTTTCATTATGCACATCTCTAATGTTATCAAGTAAAATATAAATATTTTCACTTACCTGCCATTATTTCTAAGAAAAGCATCTATGACTGGTGCAAAAAGATTTCCCTTGATGATGTATCTGTTATAGTATTCATCTTTTAGAGCAATTATTTTCCTCATGAACCTTAACGCGCCAAGCACCAAAAAGGTGTGTGTTGACCTCATAAGCACCAATATGCGACGAAGTAAATCCTAGAAAATAAATGTATAAATTCAATGACGGGCAATGAAAACTAAAGGACTAACTAAGAAACTGATAGTTTAAATATTTAGTATAATTATTAGTTTTAAGTAAACAGTCTACAAGGTAAAATATCTAGTACTATCATTGCACTTATGATAAATTCTCCTAGCTTGGATGATGTTTACATTCAGCAGTGAAAACATGATATGATTATATAATAATGTATTTAATTAAGATAAACATTAAAATAATTGTATACTAATGAATCAATTATTCTTGTGGGTTTATACATAGGTACTTGGTTCTCAAAAACAGCAATAATAACTTCAAGGAGATTCACAAATAAGTAGGTGTTTGGACTAAGAAATCAATTTAGATGCATCATTAGAATTAATTCTAACATTCTTTAATATAAACTACAGATAATCACCATCTCTCCAAGCAAATGCTAATTAAATGCTGTTGATATTTTAGTCAATTTTCAATGACCACCAATGTTCTGATTCCAAGTAATTTTAGTAGTTGCTAAATTATATGGATCCTATGCCTTTTTTTATAGAAGAGGGGGCAAAAAAGCATACGGTTCACCTGATGTTAAGTGACTACCACAGCCCATGAACAACTGCAACACCAGGGGAATTGCAGGTGCATTGCCAGATCTTTAGGAAAGAGTAAGCTCTTTTTTTGAAAGTCCCCAGGTCGTATCGGTCCGGAAAAACTATTCCAGGTGTATTGGTGGTAAACTATTCCACAGAGAGGTCGTACGCGGAAGAAAACTCCTAGTGAAACGCACAGTGGTGGACCGCCAAGCATCCAGATGGAGTGGATGGTATCGGGATGTTTGCCGCGTAAAGCGTTCATGAAATTTAGCGGCTGGGATTCCGAACAATTCCTCAGAGTACTCCCCGTGATAGATGCGATAAAATACGCAGAGATGCAACATCTCTTCGCAGCACCAGTGAATCGAGATGATCCGAAAGCACTCGGTCGTCGATGATTCGACCCGCTCTGCGCTGGATGTGGTCAAGTGGAAGGAGCTGGTGAGCCCCAGCCCAGAGATGGGAACAGTATTTCATGTGCAGCCAAACCTGCGCCTTGTAAAGTTGCAGGCGGTGTGCTGGCCGGCTTGAAATACTGTTTAGCTCTGCTGAGCATGCCAAGTTTTTTTAGAGGCCAATTTGGCCTTCTCTTCCAAGTGACCACGAAACTGCACGTCACTCGATATGTCTACGCCAAGGATTCCGATACTGACTGAGGCAACAAGGGGAGTGTCTTGAAACAGGAGATACGACAAAGGTTTTTTTTTGGCGGTTAACGCGCCTACCTATATAATAAGTACATGAATTAAGATTATTTAATCTTGCTTTAACAATAAAAGAAACAACTTTTGAACATGTACGGAATTTTAAGATATTTTGTAAGCAAATATTATAGGCAAGAATTGTTAGGCGACGTGCCCTTAAGTGATCTCCAAAACATGTGGTTCCAAAATGATGGTTGCCCAGCACATTATGCTCGTCCTGTGCGAGAATATTTAAATCAAGAGTATCCATGAATATGTATGAATCGGGCGACTTGGTCCTATCTTATGTCTACATCCACAGCAGCTATCACCTTGCTAAATCAATCTTGCTGTCTTTTCGTCACTGATCTGTCAACACAATACCTTGAACTTTTTTACATTATCTTTAGTTAGGAGGGATATTGGTGGTAATTCAGTGTTAATCATGGTGGATGGTGTGCCCAGCTTAAGGACCTTGGACCAATGTGCAACTGATGAATATGCAGGAGTATCCTCTAAAACTGCCACCAAGTCTGCATGTAAATCTTCATTAGTGATTTTGTTCAAACAGAAGTACTTGATGATGGCTCTCAATTCCTTTTTTCATCAGAAGATCTATTTGTGTGATATTGTATCCTAAGTTAAGGCCCATTTACATGATATAATTTTCTTGTACATACAAGAGAAATTATTGAATGTAATTAAATAAGCGCAACATAGCCACCCAGGAATTGTAAGAAGCTTTTTCCATGTGGATGATTGAATGCAATTATTTAATACAAATCTTGACAAGAAATAATTGCTATCTTTTTTTGCAGCCAGGCAATTAATTATATTTAAGAGATAATTGCTTTCATGTTGTGATGTCATTTTTGACATGTTGCTTCAAGTACTGCACGTATTTGTATTTGCGAATTTTTGAGCAAGTGTTGACAATTCAGAAAAGAAGTGTTTATTAAAAAATGAGACACAAAGTATTAAAATTTGGTTCTGCTGATTTAAGGAAGTTCATTAAGATTTATCAAAGTCATGACTGTTTATGGGATATTGAAAATGTAAATTATAAGAATCATGATGAACATAATGCTCACTAGGAGCAATTGCATAGGAATTCGGAGTTCTAGTTCTAGTCAGAGTTCTAGTTTAGAAGAACCAACTTTTTTTAACAAATAATAAAACTGGGTTCTGTTTACTCAAATATGTCTTTAAAATCATTTTCGTTTTCTGATGGTAACTCTACACAAAGATTGTTAGATGCTCCAAGAACCTCCCTTCTTGATATCCATTATTTGTCCAACACCTTTTCTTATGATGTTATCATAATATTTCTTGCCTCACAAAAGCATCAACGATCAACACACCCTCTGCACTCATGTTTGCAAATCAAGAGAGAACGACAATAATTTTTAATTGGTTAAAAATGTTACATGTTGTTTAGACCATGCAAGTCATTTATTGCTTCAATTTAATTATATGCAACAGGCAAGAAACTTGCATCATGTAAATGACCCATTAACCCTTCAACAGTAATTATAAATAGATCAAGAATTTTACATGTTGTTTAGACCATGCAAGTCATTTATTGCTTCAATTTAATTATATGCAACAGGCAAGAAACTTGCATCATGTAAATGACAAATTAATCATTCAACAATAATTGTAAATAGGTTAAGAATTTTACATATTGTTTAGACCATGCAAGTCATTTATTGATTCAATTTAAATATATGCAACAAGCAAGAAACTTGCATCATGTAAATGGCTCATTAACCCTTCAACAGTAAATGCCAGGCTATCTAATACTTACTTACGTAAACTCATGTTTTCTTGCATTTCATGGGAATGATGTTGTTTATACAATAAACTCTAATAAAAATGTTTTCTCACCTAAATTATTTGATAATATAAAAACAATGCTAATAGCAAAGTAATAAACTCGTATAAATATGAGGGTACAAAATTTTCGTAAAAAAATAAAAAAAAACATTAATTTCACAACTAGTTTATGACACCCACAAAATTACGTGCAAATATTAAAGTTAATTTATATTTCTCGATACTCTGATGTTCCCAGCAATAATAAACAAGAAAACACTAAATACAAGATAAAATGAACTAGCACTGAATTGGGGCAATTTGACGATTTTCAACTGGCAAATCTTCAAATTTGTCAACAAATTACAGATTAAAAATTATTTTCTATCAAGCTTTGTCTATCAACAAGCCTTTCCATAAATATGAACAGGTTACGATAGGGGTAACACAGTGAAATAATAAAGTAGACAGCCGCAGTGGCTGTTTGGACAGTCCAGTGCACAACATCCCGGCAGTTTTGACTGTTGAAGGGTTAAAGAGAGTAGAAAATAGCTATCTCTTTTTTTGGATTTTAGGTTTATTACCTAAATTTTATTCTTTTAAATCACCCCTAATATGGTTTTAAAATTAAAAAGAAAAATATTTTACATATCTGTTGCATGTAATTCATAATAGATTTTTTAAATTTTTGTCAAAATTAGTTCAAATCTGATAAAATTTTATTTACAATTGTGATATAATTTTATATAACAAAAGTCTTTATATAATCTTGATCAAATTGAATCAATTGTGTGTGCTTTTTATTAATTTAAATTCCCTTTTCAACATGAAATGTCACTGTAACAGTAACCATCACAAATTTCTTTATTGCCTGTCAACTAGAGCGGTAGGCAGAGACTAGGGAGTATGACACAATTCTAACACACCTTTCTCACACCTCCTTCACATATTGACAAAACATATCTCAAAGTAGAAATTATAGTACATACACATCACAACTCCCATTCAAACTCTCAATTTTAAACCACAAGTATTTGTAATCACATATTATATATTATGTGGTTAGTATAGTACATAATATGTTATGTGGTTTTTCATGTTCAAATTTTTGTAATTAAATTATTTTCATTAAGTAAGTGGAATAAAATTATGTAGGATATAGTTATTGATAGACATATAATATGTAAAAAGGTACTATTGCTTAGATAAGTAGTGTGAGGCATTCTTTTTGACTGAGTAGTTATTTTCAAATATATTAAATTATGTTGAAGTAAAGAATTAAACAATATTTTTATTCTTACCTTATTCAATATGCATGTTTTGATATGGTATGTGTGATGTTCAACACAAAAGGCAAGAAGCTCTAACACAAGCCCCAGTAGCTGAACTGTATGATAATCTTCTTTGAGGGGCTTCTCACCTGTTGTGTTTTCAAGCAGTGGTGCTGAAATTGTAAAAAAATATTAACTTAATTTTTAATTGCCATATAAATGCAAAACTTATAGGAAATAGACATATCAATCAAACATATCAGGAAATGGGTAGCGGTGTCTTCCAAATGTCTGAAAATAAAAAAGTTGCAGAGTGGCAATTATATAAATAAATATCCCTCCTATAAGATAATCTATGGGGGCAGCCTAGGTTCAGCAGTGGATTTTAATATGCTGTAAGGGTAATTAATATCAACACTGCCTACATATAATATAACTTTGAAAGTACTGGCCATACTGAACATATTTAATTATCAATTTGATCCCGGCACTTTTCTTTATTTTAAATTTTGATTAAATAAAGACTCAAGGAAGCAGTGAAAATGAATTAACTTCATTATGAAAAATTTTCCATCCAGTGTGTTTTGAAGACTAGATTGTTTTTCAACTAAATTTTAATATTATGACAAGTTTGATTTAATAAGTGGTTTTTTCTGTACTTTGGAATGCCGACATTTAACTAGAGAAAAGATGTTGCAGTGGCGAAACTAGGGCTCCAAACTAGGACAAGCCCAAGATATGGCTTTGTTGTTTTTAGCAGTTTAAAACACAGCAATCTTGAGCTGTCTCCACTCTTTAGTTTCATATTCAGTGCTGACAAGGACGTGTTTAACAAAGCACACAGAAAGCATACTACCACTAGATAGATTGTATGACATAATATGCAACTGCACACCTTCGGTGGTTTTGAAAAGAGCCGTTTGGGTTTGCTTGAGATATTTACAAACAATACAATACATGAACAAAGTACAAACAAACTATGTACAAAGTTAAAAAAAAGGGACACCTGGCAGATGTGAAACCTCGGAATTATATTTTGTTTAAGTTATATGCATAAAAGAACAGATTACGACAGGAATTAGATAGTTATAATGAGAAGATTAAGCTTTGCTAATTTTTTACCATAAAATAATGACTATTATAATTATAATTATTCATTTTCAATTCATAATAAACCGTACAAAATTATATTTTTAAACTCATATATCACTATAAATTAGCCGATAGCGTATTTGTGCCATCTAGCGTAATCTTTAGGTACCATCGTGAGAATCAACCAATTTTCGTTCGATAAAATGACTTTACGTATAGAATTAAGTAGATGGTGCCATTAAAATTTTATATACTGAAAAGTAGACAGAGAAACCTAACTGGAAATAACTAAAGGGAGTACTATTTTTTAAAAACCTCAATACATTCTTCTGTATTCTTTTGATTTATTTAATTAAAATTTGGGCTTCACGTTAAAAAAAAGATTGTAACACTTATTTCCTCTAAAATTAAACCTAGGTCTCATACTTTATGCTGCTGTTCAAATTGATATTTTTAATTTGTATGGTAATATTAATATTGAGTTATTAAACCTTTAAATACGCCTAACTTAAATAAACTTTAATACTAAAGAGTCCTGTACCTATATTTAAAGTATGAAGAAATGTTTATTGAATATTAAATTTCATTTTTAAAGATTTTTACCCTTTCTTCGCCAATTAGCACTTCAACACACTTATATTCATCACAATGAACACTATTATCCTCCCATTTTTACTGAAAATCTTCGAAAAAGCATAAATTTTTAACAACCACAACGCAAACAAACATAAACATTGAAATGTGAAGTGAACTTGCATACTAGGGGCCCGCAACCACTTCACTAGTCGCTAACGCACTCCTAAACAACTTCATGGTAAAGCCAGGCTTGTTGGCTCAATAGTAATTGCTATATAAACATTTCGTAGTTATATTTCATAATAGAATATTTTGCCATAGGTTAGAAAGAGAGCGATCGTCTTCTCGAAAGCCCCGTAAAAAGCCCATGCGAGTGAGGGAGACAACTAATCGCTCTATTAAAACTCACTTTATGACAGCAGCAGTATCACCACAGAGTACCTTTGTATAAACGTACCGCTAAGGCAATACGAGGTCATCGGTCAACATGTGTCGAACAGTGGAGTGCGCGGGAAAATTGAAATAATTCGAAACAGTTTAGGAGTTATTTTCTTAGTTGATATTATTGATTGAATCAGTTTTAATAAGGCAAGCCCGACTCTTCGGCTTTAATGGAAGCTTCGCCACTGAGATGTTGATAGCATTAATCATTTTGAAAGTAGATGCAATCCAGTGCAATATTGCAGTTACTATTGCTATATTATTATTACTCAATACCATAAAGTTTAACTCTAGTCCAATTGCAGCTTTTTTATTATGTCCCACACGTGGGGCACATGTCTACTCTCAATCCTGAGATGGTTGTGGAGCAATTAGTCTAATCTGCAGCCTCAATACATGTTGGTGGATATCACTTATTCTCAACATTTTATTATACAATGTTTTTCTTTACCACTATGCACAATTTTTGTTTACTTTTTTTTAGTTGTATTTCTCAAATATGTCTGTCACTCAAATATGTCTTCTCAGTGTATTTGCAAACAAAATTTTGATTTCATACATTTATTACTTACCTATAAGAGTTTGTATACTATGTTTATAGAAGAAATTAAGAAAATCTGCCTTCTCGCTTTTGTTGACTGATGCAAGCATGCTTTCTGGGTCAAGAAGAATACGCAGAACACCCATTAACTGTACTGCACCACCAAGTTCAGGGTCTCTGTCTCTAAGCATTTGTTCAATTACAATGTTTAACAGCATTTGCTCCTGTAAAAAAAAAAACAATCATTAGTAAAAAAAAGGTAAAAATTTGGTCACTAAATTAAAACTCCAACATACCTCTTCAGTATTATTTGCTTGTTGTAAGGTATAATCCCTGACAACAGAAGGTGAAAACTCTACAATATATGTTAAGATATCTATAGAGGCAGTCTTCGTCTTCTGATCATCTATACTTAGTGTTATTTCTAATGCTGGCAGGATCCCCAGTGTAACTAAAGTCTTATAAAATGCATCTTTATCTGGTGGCTGTAAGTTTTGTGAAAAATTGCAAAATTCCTTCAAAAATAGTACTAAGTCTCGCCTCTTAGAATTAGGGGTTTTGTCATCCATAAGCAATTTAAACAAATCAGTTAAGAACTTCTCATCTTCTTCTATAAGTTTCACTATTTCAACTTTATTAAAAAATATAAAACTAGACAATGTGCTCAGCAAATTGTCTTCAAAAACTGTGGGTGTGGGTAAGACTATATCTTGAATATACTGCACTCGGTATGTTTGATGAATTTTTGCTAATAAATCTTGATTTTTTATAGGAATGGCTTCACGAAATTTAGCTAGCTCCCGTAGATATTCCCTGTGCTTTTTTGGTTGAGGCAAACTAGGATCATACTCAAGACACCCTACTACATCAAATATTGTATCATCAGCAAACATGGTATCAAAAAGGGTATTTTTATTGAGAAGAAATATACTTTTGAATATTTCATATAGATGGTGCAAGCCTTCTATATTCTCAATGTCTTCACACATGCGGAAAAGGTTTAATAGTTTCTTGATATAGTGTTGGCTTTCTAATGCTGCTGCCAGCTTATCCTTTCTCGCCGGTGATACCAAACAACTATTAACTAGCTCACTAATATCTTCTAGACGTCCCATTTCACAAGCTGGTAGTTCCACTGGTTGCACACTATCTGACATTTCATCAAATCGTTCATCTTCAGACTCCTCCACTATATCTTGTGTGATCTCAACTGATGGATCTTTCCCTTGTACCTAAAAATTTTGAAATGATTATATTACATTAAGCTAATGCAAAGACAATATACATGTTTAGAAATGACCTTTAATATTAATAGGACAATGTTAACAACATTTATGATTATGGCAGTCCCATGATAGACTATTTCAACACACTATAACAAAGTAAAACTAATTAACTGTAAGATTATAGTTAACAATCCCATTGTAAGCTAGTTTAACATTTTAGAAATATATTGAAATCACAACAATATAAAAAATAGGGAAAAGAAAATTAATACTAATTTCAATATTCCTTACAATGGACATTAAGGAACAATTAAAATAAAATTACTCAATAATAAAACAGAAAACAAGCAATATGACATATTATTCCTGACCTTATAAAGTTCATCCATAATGATTTCTTATATTTACGTGAACACTGATGTTTCGAGCGCTTTACGGCACCCATGGTCATCTCAGTCCCTCTGTGACCATGGGTGCTGTAAAGCGCTCGAAACGTCAGGTATTTAAAAAGTTAAATATACGTGATAAAATCCGTAAAAACTAGTATTATTTAAAGTTCATCCAATAAATCATGTACTTTAAAAGCTAAGGAAATAATGTATTCTAAAATGTATTCTAAAATGACAAATTGAAAGTATCCATACCTGACAGATTTTCTCCCATATTTCATCGCAGCCAGCTTTTTCTTGGAAACTTAAGGCTAAATCAAAATTATCTCCTTCTGACCATACTATCAATGTGTCTTGCTGCTTTTGATAGGCTGTATCTGGTTGTATTTTACTCTCTAAAAGAAGAGAACCGTCGGACTCTGCTCTTACTAATAGCGAGGTACCTTTCAATCTCTCGACATAACATGATGATACATGGCCTGTTCCTCTGTCGTCCCATTGCCGATCAGCATTCAGAGCATATAGTTTCACTCTTCGTCGGGTGTCTGTCATTATAGTCAACGCAACTATGACTATTTATTCGAATAATAAATCAGTTATTATGGCGCTAAATTAGTGCACCTAAATATGTTTTTATTTAACTCCCATTGGTATGAAATCATATGCCCATCTGTAAAAAAGTGATCCTATAAAATTCAGTGATGGCTAATTGCTGTAATTATATTTCGTCGTTAAAAGTTCTTGTTTAAAAATGAAATTTCGTCCTATGCTTCAACGGTATGATATCCAAAGTATGATGTGCAAAAAAAACACGCATTTAAAATATTTAGAAAGGATTTCAAACTTCATATGACAATGGATCGCAAAATTTTTAGGAAATCACAAACAAAACAATACAATCATAAACCTTTCACTACACTTAAAACACTTAAATAATAACATGAAATATAGTTATGTACTTTGAAATAAATTGTTATGTTTCCAAAAACTATATATTTACGAATTTACTCATTACAAAATCATCCTATTGACGTACCTTCAAAATAGTACAACATCAGATATCGCCATATTGGATTCACAACAACGCTTCGAAGTCGGGGTTCTCAAGTTAAACTAAAAAAGGCGGTAAACTTAAAATAAATCTCTTGAAACAATACAAAAAGTACGGTCATTTTAACTCAATTTGTTAAAAAAAAGGGTAAATAAACTCAGCGTAGTATTTGTATTAAAAACAAGTGCTTTTTTTAACTAAATAAAAAGAAACATGTATATTTTGCTACTGTGTTAAAAACGACAAATATTTTCAAATAAAAAAAATGACAACTCTTACGAATTTGTAGGCCAATAGGAAACTACTTTAATCACTGTCAGCCAATAACAAACGGCAATTCTTGACAGCTGAAATAGAATTGCCAAAACGTATACAAGACAAATTTGCTTTCTAAAATCACTATCCTCTATATATGCGTACTTGCATATATAGAGGACAGTGTCTAAAATGCATTCAAATTGTTTTTTTAATTTACATACTTATTCAAATATTGTACAACTTGAGTACCATAATTAAAATTAAATTACTCTTTGAATTCATATACTGTGTCTGTGACTTCTTCATTATAAAATCTACTTTGTAATAATATTTCGACATTTACTCATATACTACCAATGCATATATCGAAACATAAAATTATTTGTTTACCCAATAAGTTCATATCTTTTTTGCATCTTACGTTAGAACCAACTTACCTAACCGTCTCTTAAAAGTATTAAAAGTTGTATAATTTAATAATGCACGCGACTATTTTATTAAAAACAGAGTATTTATATTTTACATGTTGACTTGTTGATATCTGTGATTAACGCTGAGAAATATTTATGTTTCTATATTTTGAAAGCATATTTTATTTTGTTTTAGATACAATATCTTAAACGTACTTAAAAATAATCTTTTGAACAGTTAACTTACATTTTAGCCTTATACCAGGATAAGTAGTAAACTTAGACTTACCTATTTTTTTTATAGGATAGGGGTAACGCACGAGTACACAATCCACCTGATATTAAGTGGATGATGTGGCCCATATACACACATCTACATTTATCCTCAATTAAAAATCAAAATGATACAAATTTAAGTCCGTTATTTTCATTGTTGCTCGGACATTACCCAGTAATATTTAATACAATGATTGTTTGCTAATAGTTTAAAAAAACTATAAGCTGGATAAACTTCTGTTTACTAATTCTTCGAGCATTACCTGTAATACTTAAGTACTAAATAATGCACAGACTTATTACATTCGTAATATAAGATCCGAAGATTTTCCGTGTGGTGTGCGGCGGAGTAGAATAGCATCACCCTATATCTACCTATGGGTGTCGTAGAAGGCGACTAAGGGAGTGTGGAAAAGGATTGACCACTGTATCTTTTTCACCGATATACCGACCTACTGTTCCATCTGTCCGAGTCCCTCTCCGGTCGTAACGGTCTCCGTCCCACTGTGTTCAGGGGGACAAAGACGAGTACGTGCACCTGTGTTCGCGCGCACACTTGTGCACGTTAAGATCTCCTGCGCAATTGACCTGCTTCCCATTAGGACTCCGATCTAAGCTAATGTCCTACGGCGATGGGAGGAGGTAGAGAGGCTTAACGTGATACTCGTTGGGTTTTGTCTGACTCCTGCACGTAGGCGGTCTTAGAGGTGTAGTATATCGGGGTAACGGAGTGGATTCGGCAGCACCCAAGGTGACAAAGCAGCCCTATTCAGGGAGGCACTGCTTTCCTGGCTCAGCCGGGGAGGGGGCTAGAAAAGGTGCCCTAAACAAATGCTCACTCCAACCCTTTAGGATGGTATCAACCGCGGCTGCAGAAAAAACAATCAAAATTTTAATTTATCTAAATCAATGATATTTGGCGCGTGGAATGTGCGCACACTTCTTGACAGAGGAGAAAATGCCTGCCCTGAGCGGAAAACTGCCATTGTAGATCGAGAACTAAGTCGCTATAATTTTTATGTGGCTGCACTCAGCGAAACACACCTCCCCGATCAAAGAGAGCTGGTAGAACACGGCAGCGAGTATACTTTCTTTTGGAAAGGACTCGCTTCGTCAGAGCCGCGAAGGTCTGGTGTAGGCTTTGCTATCAAGAACTACCTTGCTGCTCAACTACAAGAACATCCTATACACGTCTCGGACAAATTACCACATTGCGCCTTTACACGGGACGTGAAAACTATTTGAATGTCATCAGTGTCTATGCCCCTACGCTAGATAAGTCTGATGAAATTAAGGACAAATTCTACGAAGAATTGACGCGGTGCATAGATCGTATCCGTCCAAGGGAGCAAATCCTCCTTTTGGGCGACTTTAATGCCCGAGTAGGACGAGATTATGACGCCTGGCCTAAAGTTCTGGGCAGGCATGGTGTTGGTAAAATGAACAGCACCGGCCAATTGTTGCTTAGTTTTTGTGCACCATTAGATCTTGCAATTACAAATACTATGTTCAGATTACTTGCCAAGTACAAGGCAACGTGGGTGCACCCCAAATCGAAGCATTGGCACCTTATCGATTACGCTATCGTGCGTCAAAAGACATCTCTCAAGTCCTAGTCACCCGTGTCATGCGTGGTGCTGACTGATGGACTGATCACAGGCTTGTTATTATTAAATTAAATCTTCATCTTCCACGTCCTTGTAGATCTGAAAGATCTAAACAGATACGTCTGAGCCTTGAACGACTCCAAGATATTAACATGAGGGCTAAATATTCCGAAACCTTGAGCACTGCTCTGCAGCCCCTCGACCTAAAATCAGGTGAGATCAATACTGTCTGGGAGTCTCTATCTTCTCATGTTCTCGACACTGCTAAATCAAATCTACTTTAGGTTTTAGAGTCCGAAAACATGAGGACTGGTTTGTTGATAATGATGGGGTACTTGCGGACGCTATTGATAAACACCGTAGGCTCCTAAAGCAGCACAGTAGAACTCATCAGAGTGGAAGTGTTAAGGAGTTGCGTCATAGTGATCTGGAGCTGCGCAAACTCGCACGACAAGCGAAAGTGGTGGCAGGAGAAGGCTCGTCAGATGCAGTAGCTTGCTGATACCAACCAGCTCGGTGAGTTTTATTCTGAGGTGCGACATCTACTCGGTACGTCCTCTATGGCGAAAGTTCTATTGAATTCAACTAGTGGTAAAGAGCTTTTAAAAGCAGGGAGGAAGTACTCAAGCGATGGGCGGAGCATTTCAACACCCTACTTAACGTGGATCATTTTGTTGACCTAGACCATGTTTGCTGCCTACCTCAGCAACCTTTCGCCCTCGAGCTCGATGAGCTAGTCTCGCCTGACGAGGTCGCTCTTGCCATTAAGCAACAGCAAATTAAATGCGCGGTTGGTGTTGATTCTATACCGTGTGAATTATTGAAGTATGGCGGTGGGGATTTGTATTCGGCGACATGGGAACGTTTTGGTTATGTGGGAAAAAGAACAAGTCCCTAATACTTTTAAGGTATCCCTCATACGAGTCCTATATAAAGGCAAGGGTGACCGGTCGAACTACAATTCTTACCGTGGCATTTTTCTACTTTCTGTGCCTGAAAAAGTCTTTGCCAGACTTCTATTATACCGCCTCAAGAAACTTTCTGAAAGGATTATGCCGGAATCCCAGTTCGGCTTTTCTCATTGTGTCTACTGCAGGAAAAAAGCAGAGAACAGGATCGTAAAATGTATCTCTGCTTTGTAGACTTTGAGAAAGCATTCGATAGTGTACCGCGAGAAGCCCTCTGGAAAATTGGCTGCACGGAGAAGTTTGTGAGATTTCTGAGACTCCTGCATGACGACATGCTGAGCTGCGTCACAGTAAACGCTGATAAGTCAGAATTTTTTCCCGTTACCTGTGTAGTAAAACAAGTGTGTGTCCTGGCACCCACACTTTTCGCGTTATACTTTGCAGTTGTAGTCCAGGAAGTCTTAAAAACTACCCCTGAAGGAATCCGCATTCGTTTCCGTAATGATGGCAATCTTTTCAGCTTAGACAGACTTAAGGCCCGTACGAAAGTGTCTTACGCACTTATTACAGAGATCGTCTACGCAGATGATCTATGTTTTGTGACCGATTCCCCAGCAGGTTTTGGTCTAAAGATAAGTGTTAAAAAGATGGAAGTGATGTCTTTAGTTATCTACGGTAAAGAGACACTGGCCATCAAACTCGGCGATGAAATACTTAAGCAAATCTATACATTTCGTTATCTGGGGAGCACGATAACTTCGAAGTGTGACCTTGATGCTGAAATCAATAGTCGGATCGATGCCGCTGCTGCGATATTCGGTAAACTGGATCGCAGGGTCTTTGGTTCACATGACCTAACGCTGGCTACCAAAATTGCCATTTATAGGGTGGTAGTGCTGCGTAACATATTGTACTCTCAGTCATGGACAGTTTACCGCCGCCACATACGAACACTGGATCACTTCCAATTGCAATATCTGCGCAAAATTCTCAACATCCGTTGGTCTGATCGCACTCGAAACACGGAAGTGCTGCGTATAGCCCATTTCATGGGGATTGAGGCCTACCTTATGGAGCGACAACTCTGTTGATGTGGACACTTATCGCGAATGTCAAACCAGCGTACGGCAAAGTGCATCTTTTTCTCTGAACTTGAGAAAGGCAAGCGTAAGCATGGCGGACAACTCCTCAGGTACAAAGATGTACTTAAGCTCCACATGAAGAAGTGCGACATTGAGCCTTTAGAGTGGGAGCAAGCAGCCGCTCGACGAACGCAGTGGAGGTCTTTGGTGAAAGCCAAGGTCAAAATGTTTGAGGAGAATCGCTGCTCTGGATTGGTTATGAGCGGTAAGTACGGGTATGAACAGCTATATAGTATATTATGTATGATGAATTGTCTCGAAAGGGTAAGGGCGACGTTATCACTTATCAGTCACAAGAGATCACGCGCGTTAGTTGTTTCTCGTGACGAAATTTATTTGAATTTTAAATTTTACTGTAAAAATGGTAATGGTGGTATTTCAATAAGAATAAGAAAATAAAATTACTTAGGGTGTTAAAGGGAGTAGCGGAAAGCGCACGGCCGGGGCGACACATTTATGCTTCGGATTTTACCCGAAGTAGTGCTAGTGCTGTGCCACGTTGTACTTGAATATTTTTAATAACATGATTAATTTCGTAATCATTTTAATATTTATATAATATTAGAAGTTAAGATCATTTATATTCCTAACACACATGTATCAATGTCTAAAATAGGCTTTCCAATGGTTGTGTTTTAGATTAGATACACATAATAAAGGTAAATACGGTTAAAATAATTTTCCAATTTCAGGTTTCAGAAAAGCCGTATTTGGCACGTAAGTGGGTGGTAGCAACAGAAAGGCCCAACTGGGATTCCAACATCAGGAGTTTTGTTTGTTACATTCATTTTAGTTTTTCGTACATTTTTGAAAGCAAGAGTGGACAATGAAAGCTGGTTGAAGGTACAATAACAGAATTTAAATTTGAATTAAAATTACACTTATTTTTAAATGATTAAAAAGTAGCTTTGGCAGTTATTTATGCAGGTACCGACCGTTAGTACTCTTATTAGTTTGTGATACCGACGTTATTACGTATGTTAAGTTCACAATTTTTTCAAAACTATTGTTACAATTCATAAATATTTTAATATTAAAATAAAATATCTTGTACTTAAAAGTACGATCAAGCAAACAACACGACAACTATGTAATAAGTTAACCTTAAGTTTTTAAATTAGTTAAGTTAGTAAATTAAGTTTGTGTTTTGTATTGATTAATAAATATGATTTTCTAAATTCGTGCCCGTGTTTTATTGGTCTGCTAAAACCTATTTTACACACCCACTTATTATTTTCTAATTATTTATCATATTTAAAGTAATAACTTAACTCTTTCTTTGTTCCGTGCACTATATATAGGTCATTGCTATTGTCTAATTATTGTGCTTGAAAATCGGAAACTGAAAGTGTTAAGTACATAGGCAATAAATAATGCATAGGCGTCAATCTTATCAACTGTTTCATCAATGTATCAGACTTTCTCATTTATATAACACTTACTAATGCTTGGAATAATGTGCAATGAGCGATAAGCGCGCTTTATAGCTTGAAATTTGATTAATCAAAATTAATGTTACAATTTTTTTTATTGAAGTCATATTAAAAATAACCAATCTTCAGCAATGACCTGAAATGATAACCGTGAGTTTGCACTGACGAGATTTTCACAAAAAAGACATGTTTAAATCACTATTTCTTGACAATGGATCGAATCGCGTTTGCATAGTCAAAGAACATATTGTAGTGAAATATGTTTGACAGTTTATTGTACAAAACCGAAGACAGAGAAACCTATAGACTAATGATTAGCGTGGCCTCGAGTGAGAAAGGACGATAACGTAGTTTTAGGTTATACAATAATCTTTATGACTTGTAAACATATTTACATAAAAAACTTAATTGTTCTAAGAACTGAACTGAACAAGGTTCACCAATCTTAAGCTCACAAAACACTTTTTTCTTACTTAAACCAACTTGTAAACTCCTTATATCGCTACGAACTGTCAAAGTTGTTTAGCAAAGTGTAGTTTCCTAAACAAAAAAACCGGCACGGAGAAAGGGACAAACAATCACACCACTCTGTCTCATTTCTATGCTACGTATGCATAAATCTATCCCTTTCGTGTGCGAATGCGAAAGAAGGCATCAATTTGTCTATAGGTTTCTCCGTCTACGTACAAAACTTATTTAATCTAAAAAAATATAAAATATCTAATTATATTATATCCATATCAATACCGAAAGAAAGTGTTTTAAAACAAATTTGTGGAAATATTGTCATGCAGAAAGAGTTTGATGTCAATTTTGTATTTGTAGGCACTTCAACTTTTTAACTATAATGGAATCTAGTGATGAAGAAGTTTTTTTTATCTATCAGTGCTGGACATTTACAACAAAAAATATTGGAATCGGTACTGATTTTTATTTTTGTTTAAGGACGCGTTTGCAAATCAACCAAAATTAGGGTGTTTTTCGGTAGATTTTGTGACAAAACTAAACCAAATCAAATATAAGTAAAAACTACCATGTATAGATTGGTTCTTCATCTGCAAATGTCTGTAACTCTTTTGTTGAAAATAGTAGTTTTTTATATTGTAAAAACGAACTTTCGTTGCCATTTTCTACAAAATTAACGATACCGGCTTG